TGAAATTATCATGTTTTACATGCACATAAGGCAAATGTAGGAATGTAGAGCCTATGGCCTGATTTCAGAGTTCTTTGCAAGCTGTTGATTCAAGCTTTTAGTAGGCATACTATTGTTGCAAGAAAAATCCTCAGGGTCCAGTTCAAACTGGGAATAAACAAAATTGAGACTGCTTTAGAAAGAAGGTTGTAGTTTATTGAAGAGCAGAACCACAAAACGTGGCTCTGGAGCAGCTGACCATATGTTGCTGGGAGTGGTGGGTTTTTATACCTTCTTGGGCTTTTGTGTTTGGAGTTGTTCCTGTTCCTGTGGCTTTGTATTTCCTGTGTCATATACTTTGATCTGAGTCTGAGTGTGCCCTTTTTGTATTCTGATGGTGGTGTGTTAATCCTATTATGTCCTAAACAGTCATGTCCTCCTTATCTGGGGCTGTGGCTGATGGCTATGTCTTGTGTTGGATGGATGAGGGGTTGCTGGTTCTAATCCTATCACTCTGCTATTGTTAGCTATCAGTTTTGCTCCAAGGGATTTTGAAAGATCTTGTCTTGAATGGGTTTCTGCAAACACTATTTGCTCATGAATGGGGCCTTAGACCTTTTGAATGGGATTATCAAATCTGCATTTCTATAGACCTGGTCTGCAGAGTTTCTGTTTGGGGCTATTAAGAAAACCTGGGCCTGCTTTCCTTTGGGGAAATATAATATTCTGCCTTTTTAATATCCCCCAAAATATTTCCTTCTCTCAGGGGGGCTAAGTTCCCACACTATAGTTGCCAAACTTACTACATGGGGGGGAGAGAAAAGAGGGTGTCATAAAGAGGAAAAGAAGAGAATGAATAACCCCTTTCATGCTTGGATTTGCTTTAACCTGAATGGTTTCTTTGGTCCTACCTACAAATGATATAATAATCTTTGGTCCTAACTACAAATGATATAAAGTTCCTTACAACCTTCAGGGAGATTGACCTTCAACAGAATTTTTCTTAATCCCATGTTTGATATAAAGTCAATGATATTCCTCCCTGATACCCTCAGAACTTTGTGGAGTGTGTGGTAAGATCAAACATTTTGGCCTTTGCCCCTTGATTTCAGTATAAAATTTACATGTAGCGGAATTGTAATTGTTTAAATGGGTTTGGGGATAGTTGGAGGTTTAAAGCCTTAATCCATTCCTTAATCCTCTTCCCCAAATGTAAATATACACCCTTCACAATTCCTAGGACTTCTAAAATCAAT